CTTCACTTAGGTTGAATTCTGATTCCTTCTCCTGGAACAGACATTTGTTCCTGTCTCTTTCATAGTAGCATTGTTCCCTTAGTATTTGACTCATTTAAGTGCCTTCAAGGCTTCAACGGTTCCATCTTTGACTTTCTCTCCATCTTGTTCCTCTCTTATACTCCTCTAAGAGCTTCCAAATGCTTCCACTTTCACACAACTGATGAATGGGCTGGTAGAAAACCAGTCTACCTAGCAACAGCCAAGCTGGCTTTCTGATCTCCGCCCCACCTCCCAATCAGCATTTCTTCCCAAGAACACAAAGAATTAAGGCACAAGATGGTGTGAGCATCTTGCGACAGGCATCTGGAAGATGATGGGATTTCCCTGATGCGTCTCACATTGTGTAATTGCAAAATGGATAGAGCCCACAAAAATCCCTGCCCCCCCTCTTTTAATTATTTTTATGCAGTCTTTGCTCACCCTCCCTTTTATGCAGTCTTTTGCTCACCCTTTTCTTCATTTTATTAAGAATTAATATTTTATTTTCATCTGATTTGACAAAGAGCAAATTTGCACAATGGTATACAGGCTTTCCAACTTTCACAGTACATGCTCTCGGCTGGGCCTTTTAAACTCTTGCCTACCCAAGAGATGAGGGGAAACAAGTAGCCAGCAGCCACTGTGTCAGGTTCAACACCTTAGAAAGAGCATTTGTCCTAGCATTTGGAATAGACATTGCCCAGTTTATCAGCAAACATTGAGAATAAATGGGCCAACTGCTTCTAAGGGTGCTACTTCACATGGGTGGGCCAGTTTTTGCAAACTTTTAAACATTCCACACCTTGGAATCTCCAACAAATAAAGCAAATAATCCTATAGCTAGCCCGTGTCACTAACAGCATTTGAGGAGCACTGAATACAGAGGTGAGATTTCAAATACGAGCTGGAAAACTGCTGTGCTATAATCAGTCATAATTTAATGCAATCACAGCAGGTATAAGAATACCTGAAATACATGAAAGAGTCTTCCCAATTGGGGATTATTCCTTCCAAGCAACAATCAAAACACCAGGAACCATAAAACCAAATTATATCAGCCGCATGGCCACTCTATAAAGGGAAAAGGAGCTTGCAAGGGGCATCTATGTATGTTTGCTACAAGTGGGGGTGGGTGGTAAAGAATAAAATAAGATTAAAGGATACTCCCTCCCATATATACACACATATACTTTGAATTTTAAACAGCTTAGGTGAGGAGAAAGCAACTTAAGCCTATGGGCACCAATTTGCCCACAGTCAGCTTCTATGGTATTTGTTAAGCTCCTTGCTCCAAATTATTTCTTTCTTAAATATTTCAAGTTTTAAAGAAATGGAAATTTGGCACATTGCAAAGTCCCTGCATTATTTCCAACAGACGTTTGGGTCTCCACAGGAATTCTTAGAAAATAGAACCAATGAATGCCTGCAGCTTAGTGCTCTTCTTGGGAAGTTGCTCATCTGGAAAATTAATGTTTTGTAGCTGGCCCCATTCACTATGACAGCCCCTCTGCAAATGCCCAAACATCTCTCCCTCATGGAGGTATTTTATTAACACATTATCATAATTCAACCATTTCCTAGCCTTCATCGCAATAATATTAACACATCTGTTGCAAAACCAAAGTTTGGTTTTGGTCCCAATCAACCAGAATAGAGCTGGAAGGGTCATTGGAAATCTTCTAATACAACCTCTTACTCAAGCAGGAGATCCTATATCATTTCAGACAGATCGCAATCTAGTCTTTTCTTAAAAACCTCCAGTGATGAAGCACCCACAACTTCTGAACTTAAGCTGTCCCACTGGTTAATTATTCTCACTCTTAGGAAGTTTCTTCTTAACTCCAGATTGCTTCTCTCCTTGAGTAATTTCCATCCATTGCTTCTTGTCTTGCCTTCTAGTGCTTTGGAAAATACCCCTCTTGATCCCCTCTTCTTTGTGGCAGCCCCTCAAATACTGGAATACCGCTATCATGTTACCCCCTAGTCCTTCTTCTCTTCTTCGCCTCTCAGTCCAATCTACCTCCCATGATAGTTATGACCATAAAATGAGAGGGACTTTCATGTATACCAAGTTCTCAAGGTAAAAGTGTTAGACACATGTAATAAAATACATAAAAGGAAATGCATTTATTCAAACCTCTCTCACAGCCTTAGATTAAGAAAACCATAAGCCTGCAACAAGTTCCAAGAAAGGGATTAATTTTTTTGTGCATGTAAACTGAACAAGGAAGTAATTCTTAGGCTCAAAGAAGAATCATAGATAACAATCTCTTTCCAACCATTGGACCTCACAATCCAATCCCCACAATGGCCAATTCTCCCCAAACTCTTGGCTAGTACATTTCATTTCTGAATGGTGGTTTGCAATAGGTCTTCCATGGCTTGAGACTAGCATAACTGAGCAAATGTTTATCACACACCAAAATATCTGCACGCTGTAATAATCAGTGGAAATCAAACAAAGTAAGACAACTGGAGGAAAGGGCCCTCTGAAATGTTTTTTGGGGGTTTGAAAAGTTCTTCTGGGGCAGTAGGCCTTATAGTTTTCCCACGTTCTAAACAGCCTGTTATTTTTCTAGGATTTTTTTACAGCTTTTATGATTCTAAGTTAAAAACTCCTTTAAATGGAACTTGATGCCTAATGATTAAACAGATACATCTATGTAGTTTTCTATAACAATGTAGGCGTGCTTTCCTATTGCCTTTTTTCAGACTGTTTTTCCATTTTAGTGCAGTCTGGAGGGGGGGAAAAAAATCTATCCTAGAATTGATGCTTTAAGAAATTCAATAAATAAGAAGTCTTCCTAAGGAGCAATTTCCAAGCTGAATTCAAGAAACCACCCACGGAAAGGGGTTTTAATAGCCAGACAATCAAGAGATTTGGATGTCTCTGATACTGTCAGTTATTATGGTTCCCACCAGAACAGAGCTTATTTTGTTAATACCATCATTTGTATTCCCTCTCTGGAACATCCAATTCAGCTAAAGCTGGTGACCCTTTGGCTAAGATCTCCCAAAGGAACATAATAAATTAAAAAACAATTTTTGCTCTGGAGGAAAGCTGGAAACTATAACAGGAGAGGGACAAACAGTATCTATCTGGGAATTCTCAGCATCCAAAAAAGATAATTTCCATAAATGGGGGACGGGACGCTGAGGTTAATTTTAAACAGGAGAAATTAATTGTATTAACCCAACTTAAATGAAATGTACTCCTGTGGGGCTCGGTGCACTGCAACGGTGCAAGGAAATATGCCAAGTAATCCACAGGGTTCACTAGGCCAGTCCAGACTCCCTTTAATTAATTCTCAGCAAATGTAATTCAATTACTGCCAAGAAACATCGGGCAGCAGATTTAAACATGTTGTTAATCTCTATACTGTAGCAAAAAAACAAAGAAAACAGAAAACAATTACACCAGCGTTTGCATTTGATCTTGGCAAATATGGCATAAGATTCACTGGCCTCCAATTCCCGCCCCCATCTTTATAGCTGATATACAAATAATCTTCCATATTAGAGTCTTTTCCCCCCTGTATATTCACTTGCGAATCAAACTGGGCTACCTTTGCTACTGAAGAAAAATGTGCAATCAACACATCTAGATGAGAAAAACCTGAACATAGAGAGTGCCAGAATTTCTCTCGGTCAGATGCCGAACAAAATCAATCAAATCCTTATAATCCTTGCTACTCTTTTCACATACCAGGTCAATTGATATACATCGATAGGTTACATGTAGGAGTTTCACTGAGCAGATTCCGCAGTCCAACTGTTTTCAACCCATCCATCTGCCAAACAAAATGTTACGCTTTAAATCTGGACACTTCCTTTATTATTGCCTTTAGTGCTGTGCAGAGGTCTGGATTCGAAGAGAAAAAGGTAATCCAAAGGACCCATAAATAAGCATGTAGCATTTGGAAACCCTTCAGGTTCTCTTTTCCTTGAATCATGCAAACAGCTGTGGAGGGGAGCCATGGAAGCCCAAGGGAAAAATATGGCACCTTTAAGAAGCTGCCAACAGGTGCTACATGTGCACCCACGGATGTTCTGAATCACTTCCCCCTTCAAATCTGGATCTCTGCACAGCCCTTAAGTGCCAGACAGGAAAAGTTTCCCAGACGATTCTTCCCAGGGGTCCCCAATCCCACCAATGGTAAGGAAACAATGACTGAGCTTAACCATGCTTTATTGTGCCACAGGTTTTAGACATCAGAAAAGCTTGGTTTGCAACTTTTACTGGTTCAGTCAAAGAACTGAACTCTATCACAGCTTTGAAGAGAATCTTCTTTTCATCTCCTAAGGTGACTTAGCAGGAGTTTCAGCATAACTGAGACTGGCTCCTACGGTCAGTTCCAACCCACCCGAGTTTCTCTGCAGAGCAAGAAAATGCAAAAATGACTATGCTGTGACAGAGCTGAGAACTGAACGGGTGCAAAGATTGCTTTGAAGAGACTTATGTACAAACAATATTTGCTCACCGTGGTACAATATCCTATTTTGATCTTACCAAATGTGGAGGACATTCTTTTCAGGGACCTCCAACTCTTCTTCACTCAGATTAAGTCATTGAAATCCCCTTTGAAAATCCCTTCAAGAACTGTATCTCTTGGCTTATGTCCAAGAATTTTCCTGGCTCCAAGTCAAATGGAGAACTTTGCCAATCCGTCCAGTTTAGGATGTAAATTTCACATTTGCTAATGCCTCTCAGCCAGCAGCTATCCCATCTTAACCATAACCCACTCCTAAATTCTCATTTCCAAATCCCTCCACTTCAGTGGGTGAAACCCCAATTCCATTTGTTCAATCAGAACAATTCTCTGGCTTTCTCGGTGAAGTAAATACTAAAAAGCCACACACCCTCAATATGCCCAGCAGGAACTAAGTAAGGTCCAGTCCATGCATCCAGACATCTGCTACTGTTGTTGGAGAATGTCACCCCCACCCCCCCGATTCCTGCTGCGATCCCGCCCTCTTACCTGGCGCAGGTGCTTCAGCAGATCAGTCGCCTCCTCGTGCCTGCCTTGTTTCACCATCCTCAGCATATCTTGGATCAGGACGATCCGGCGATGGTACGGGGGGAGGCTACCGCCGCCAGCCCCCTTGCCAAACTTTTCACTCGATCGTACTACGAGGGACGCCAAGAAGTTTCCGCGCTCCCGAGAAGGCAAAATCCGTCGGCGGCTGGCGGAGAGGGGACCCTGGGGGCTGCCGCCGCTGCTGCTACCGCTACCGGCGGTGCCGGGCAGCGAGCAACCCTTGGTCTGTTTGGCGCCCATACTGAAGCAAAGCCCAGCCTTCCTCTCCCTTTCCCGGCCTTCAGGAGGACATCCTCGGCTCCTGCCCAGAGAGAGAGGCTAACGGGAGCAGCCGCAGCGCCGAGAGGACAGAAAGGACGGCGTCTCCCAGCATCTCCTGCCAGCAGAGCCGGGGAGGGATGGAGGGATGGACGCCCTCTCTGGCTCTTCTCACGGGGCGAGCTGCCTACCAGCCCGGCTGCTCTCGTCCTTCCAGCCTTTCGCTCAAGAACCTCCCGCCCGTCCGCCTGCTAGCTCAGGGCGCAACTTCAGGGAAACTGTTGCACATCCGGACCGAGCGCACAATGGGCGTCGCCGGAGTCGGGAGGAGGTATGCGCGGGCCGGGCGAGGGGAATCGCAGCCCAGCCGTTCCGAGCCGCCAACGCCGAACGAGCCAGGCCGTCTCCCTCCTCCTCCTCCTCCTCCTCCTCTGCTACGATCCGCCTCGAGCTGCAGCTGGGCTGGGCCAGTCACAACCCCTTCCTGGCTGGTCGCGTCTCTGCCTGCCTGCCTGCCTGCCTGCGCGCTCCCGTCCTTCTGGCTAGCCTCCTCGCTCCGCCTGCCGAAGGGGGTGAAAATGCACAGCCACCGCCCCCTGCTTTGCCCGGGAGCACGTGACGAGCTTCTCTCTCTCTCTCTCTCTCTCTCTCTCTCTGAGCACGTGCAGAGCGCGCGTCCTCTCTGGCGCGAAAGGAGCCGAAAAACGTCGCCGGTGGGAAGGCGGGGGAGGGAGAGGGAGCGACCGAGCAGGTTCCCAGCTCCGTTTCCGCCGCCAGCGAGCGAGCGAATGCCTTCTGGCTACGCGCCGCTCGCCGTCTCCGAAAAGTACCGTCTGGAACAGTGGCTGCACGCTCTGCTTCTCGAACTCCCCACCCGAAGCCAATTTCCCGCCGTGCGGATCGGACTGGCAAGGGAAGCGGGATGGTTTGGAGCAGCGGAGGTTTCTGTCCAGCCCCGCCCTTCGATTTAAAAAAAGAAAAGAAAAAAAGAAACAAAACAGGTCGAGGCTTCTGGCGTCGCAAGGACGTTGTGATCTCTCCTAGCCCCAAGACTATGAGAGACACAACAGGGGTCCGTCTGCCAAGGGACCTTAAAGAGGTGGTGCTTTGAGTAGGTCCAGTGACTAGAGATTGTCAGTCGTCCAGGTCGGGGTTGTCCCAAAGTGCTTTTTCAATAGGCAACTGGACTTTCTGTTTTTCCTTTGAAGACTTTTCGCTTCTCATCCCAGAGGCTTCAAAGAAAAAAAATCAGTCCTGAAGAAGCTTCTTAGGATGAGAAGTAAAATGTCTTCAAGGAAAAACAAAGTCCAGTTGCCTTTTGAAAAAGCACTTTGGGTTAGGTCCAGTGAGTTTGGACAACCCCCTAACCCTGCATTGCAGAAAAATAGGTACTTGTTGCATGACTTGTTAACGCTGAACCACTTGATTTAATTGCTAAGACAATTTTTGGTTTCCCCCAAGATAACCAAAATTACCCAAACTCATTTTAGCCTAGATCAGGCTACTCACTCTGTGCATATCACCATCAATTTTATTCAGAACCTGTCTTTTCTCTGAATGTTGGGTGGGTGGCATATTGACTAGTTTTAGTCCGCTAGAATCAGTTTCTCTGGTAGCTTTGACTGAGAAATTAGCTGAAATCCGATAGTTTTGGGGGCAGATTGCTATTTCTTATCTCTTAAAACTAAGAAGTTCTATTTGTAGCCCTTCAAATAACTCAGGGTGTTACAACCAAAGAGTTTTCCTTCAGAATATTGTCTACCATTCTTTGTCTCTAACTTAATGGTTTAATCTTACAAATCAGTGAGCCACCAAAACAACACCTTTTGAAACCTTTGGGTTTCAAACTCCCCAGAACTGCTGGAGAAGTCTGCAGTTTTCCTGCAAGATTTCAAAAGTGATTTGATATTTGAATAAGCTAGAAATTAGGATGTTTTTTTTTAAACAGATTTCTTCTAACTAGTCTTAGAAGAGTTCATTCAGCATTGCTGTGTGGTTTAGTACTCTAACTATAGTGTTACAACAAGCCTTAGAGAAGAGGCTTCTCTTACTCTTCAGTTTCTTACAGATTTGCAGTTTCTCTGAGGTTTGCTTTTAAAAATGCTATTCCAAATACCATGGAACCTCCTTTCACTTTCCTATTGCTAATACTTATACACAAGAATCTAGTGAACTAACAGTCAGGACTAAATTGGTGTTAGATAAAGAGTTAATGGAATTCAGGGGCTGCTGGACTTGGATTGCTTGTGGGAATATAAGGACTCCAGGCTCTGCCTCTTCTCTAACAAAGACTTAGCCAACCTTGAGTAATGTCAGAAAGCAGTATTGGCCTTGGATAAGAGAATTACATAAAACTCAGCAACCTTTGCTAAATAGTGAGATTAAAAAGGCATGTGAACAAGCCACTGGCAAACCACTTCCGTGTTTGTCCCTGGAAACAATATGGCTGTGTTCATGGGTACAGAACCATATATTTCATGTTTATGAAACGCAAATCTTTATAGGACAAAAGCTTCCAGTTCTGGCATCTACTCCCCATTCTAATGTCAAATGTACCTGCAGAAATTACTTTCAAAATCAGTAAGAAACTTACGAAAATATTCAGAGGCTGACACAAAACTATAATTATAAACTGTTACATCACAATTAATATTTGATCCTTTAAGATTCTAACTATGACAGTATTCTGAGACTCAAATACAATTGTGTAAATATAATCCATTATGAAGTTTATACTGAGGTTTAAAAACATTAATGCCATATTAATTCCAGGATCCCAGAGGATTCTCCCCCTGGTTTTCAGAGGAACCTATGGAGTTGAAGTGAAAGAAGACACCCAGAACACTTCCAGAGAAAGAAAAAGGGCAAATTCAGCCAGGAATAGTTTAAGAAACTTTATTAAGGTTTACACCATGAAAATAAGAAAGGCAAAACGGGTATTTTCCACTCTTTTTTGCATCAACAAATTGTTCTCTGGCAGTCCTGGGTAAGGTAGCCCATTCTTCCTAGATAAGAGAAGGTCAGATCATTTGACCTTTGAAAGGACTTTTTGAGAAATCTATCGGATAAGGTTGTTTGGATTGACTCTGAGTTGAACTTTATCCATCCACGTCCTGTGGTTATCTGTAATGAGTTTAGCCTATTTGTCCCAAGGAATGGACAGAATTCTCGAGACTATGAGTTGTATCAAATCCATGTCCTTCCAGGATGGCTCAAGGCCTCCCAGGAAATTATCTAGTCATGGTGAATTCATACTTCAATGAGGTTTACCTCCTTAGGAAATCAGTTCTGAGCTGTTTCCAACTTTCCCTTGGGCATGATTGTGGAGAAAATGGGTAGGCTGCAGCTTCAGAGTGCTTTAAATCCAAGGTTTTCTGGATCTTTCAGTTGAGTATAGGATCAAAACAATATTGATCACCCCCATGGTGGGACTAGGGTATAGCCATCCTGGCCTTCTTTTGATTTCTTGATGACCTTTGATATAATCAGTCATGGTATCCTTCTAGATGTGCTTGATTTTACAAGTGGAAGACATAATATGATTCCTTTTCTCCAAGTTGGCTCCAGATGTTCATGGGGAAATGAGAATCATTGACCCTTGCTTTGTGGGTACAGGTTCCTCACGACTTGATTCTTTGTGCCCACTTAACATCTACAGTACATCACACCACTAAATAAGGTCACTGGTATAGTTAGTTATCATCAGATATAGCCAGATTGTCTAGCTATCTCAAGAAATATGGATCAAGAGCACTAAGAAAGTTATCAAGACTGAATAATTACGAATTTTGAGGCCTCTTGGATCTAGGGATTTTCTCTGGTTCTGAATGTAGTGGTATACCCCATTGGCCTTACCATTAATTACACTAATAGATCTAGTATACATTTTGAGGGTATTCCTAATCTCATAATTCCTCTTGAAAGATAAGTGGCAGTCATGGCTTGGGGATCTCCATATAAATCCATCTTATGCATCAGCTACTCCAATTCCTGGATCAGGAGGTTGTACTCAGTCCCTCATGTTTCAGTTCCATTGTCTGGATTCTCTTGTGCTGTATATTGAAGACAACTTTGAAACTACAGCTGGTCCAGAATGCAGCAGCATCATTAGTTATAGCGGTATCTTGGTATGCCCACATAAGCACTGCTACTTTGAGACTACAGTGATTGCCAGCAGGTTTTCAAATGCAAGTTGCTGGTTATCAAAGCACAGAGCCTGATTATTTGCAAGATCACCTATTTCTAATTATTTGCACCTGTTGAATAAAATCTGATAAGCTTGGCGTGTTCAGAGTCCTGTTACACAAGTAATCTGGTGGGACTTAAAAGGCATGCCTTCTCTGCTGGTGCACCTGCACTATGGAATCTATTCCTCAGAACATCCAGATGGCCGCAACATTAATTTTTGTAAGGTTTTGAAAACTTGGTTATTGCCCCAGGCATTGGATGAGGTCTTGTGAACGTATCTGGATTGTTTTTGGTTGTTGGGTTGCATCTGGCAAATTTTAGTTTTATGTTTTTGTATTATTGTATACCACTTTGAGTTGCCTATCAAAGGCGCAGTTATAAAAAGTGACTAAATAATTTCCCAGGAGCAACAATATGGATTCTTTTTCTATAGCCATAACCAACGATCTCAGAAGTAGATGAGATTTAGATGTCCACCATCAGTCCAATGTTTGATTTAGCAAGTCCCTTGGACGAAACTGCTGAAAGAATATTATGAAGGTGCTTTATCTGGATCAAAGCCAGAAGTGGATTGCAGAACTTCCGAAGTAGCAATGTTTCTGAATCAGGAGTTTATATTGTAATCTCCCATTTCATATACTAGGTTTTTCCTATTCCCCTGGGTCACTGACTAAGCAAGTTTGGGACTTGGGCAATGTTGTCCAATTGTTCCAGACCAGGAATCATGCACTTTCTTGTAACCCATAATGCTGCAGGCAATGAAGTAGATGCTAAAACACTCTGCTTTGAAAAAATTCTCAACTGCATTGTGTATTTTCACCATTTATACCTCATTCTTCTGTGCACCAAAAAGGGACTTTGGATATCTTCATTTGTAAAAGGGGATTGGTCCAATTCATGAAAAGTGTTTTTTTTTTCCAGTGAATAATAACCAAAACCTGAAAATTGATTTCCCATATATATCTTGCTGCAAAGTACACAGCGCTGGTCAGAACTCAGTAGGGAATGATAGCTAGATTTTTTAAAAATAACTTTAATGTTTTTTGCTATTCTGTGATTTCTATTGCATTAATCATAGTTACTATTGCTATTCCTAATGTTTATGTTTTGTAGTTCTGCTCATTTTAATCTTGTTTTAATCTAGGTTTATTTTTGTAATAATTTAACTATCATGTGCAGAGTTCCTGTCATGGCGTGGTAAAAAAGCACAACATAAACACTGAGAAACATTTTCATTTCTGTAATTGAGAAATTTGACATAAGATTTCCTTTCAACAAGCCTGACCTGAACTTCTTCTAAGGAGATTCATTTGTTTCTCAGCTATGAAGAGTAGACTATAACACGAACAAACAGAATGAGCCCACTCATACTCAATAAAATGCTGCAGGTTCCCATTTTGTCAGTAGGATTGATAATAAACTTTATTTTTGCAAAGCAATATCCACATCTTACAAACACAAAAAAATTAGCCGAGGAGAAAAATTGCATTAACAAATCACTGACCACCAGGCTCAGAGACAAATTAAATGCCATTTTTATTCTGCTGAGAAAACTGTAACCTGCAGTGGGAGGCTAGGGGGAGGAACCAACATTGGGAACCTTCATATACTGCAGGGTCTCCCAACCTTGGCAACTTTAAGATGTGTGGACTTCAACTCCCAGAATGCCTCAGCCAGCCATGCTGGGAATTCTGGGAGTTGAAGTCCATGCATCTTAAAATTGCCAAAGTTGGGAAACCCTGATATACTGTTGGCCAGAGACCAACAGAAACGACAGATTCTAAAAGAAAATAAAGAGAATCAAACTGATTCAAGTAATAAGCGAACGTGAAAAAAGAAAAAAAGGCAAGATCAATATGATCCAAACAACCACTGCAATATTCCATTTGTACCCTCTTGCCTGGATTTTTTTCACCAAAATCTTATAAGCCATTGTAGCCCTCCACTGCCTGAGAATCATTCCTGAACCGTCAGTAGTTCCTATCTAGAATGGACCATAGAAGCAAAAAGTAGAAATATAGTATTGTTTTTTCCCTCCAATTCCAGAATCTATTTCCCAAGCTAGCACATTTAAAATCATTGGAAGGGAATTCTATTAAAAAATGCCACGCCGTCTTTCTTTATTTCAGCCCGTTCGCTATTCAACATTAGAATGTGGACGTCTCCCCCATCTTGGAAATATATCAAGGTACCAAGCAAACAAATCAACTCAATAAGGAATCCTTTTTTTGAACAAAAACAAGTGATGTGTTATTTGACGGAGACATTTGAAAAGGACCTCTACTGTGAGAATCATCATAGCAGAAAGTGCAAACAATTGCCAATGCGGGAAGATGCTGCTACCAAAGAAGAAAATGGAAAAGTCATTAAGGCAATTAGCAGCGTTTTCAATGTAATGTCAAGATACAATATCCTATATTCCTTGAAAGAAGGAAGCTGACCAAAATTATGAATGCTAAGAGTCAGGATGGGGGATGAAGAGTTGCAAGGAGTAAAACTTGTGCATGTCCAGAGCTGAACAGAGTTCATCTGTTCTCCATAGCTCCAGACAGTTTGTCACCTTTCTTCACAAACAAATCTGCAGAAAAGTGCTTCAGGATGCATCACGGCAATAGTTTGGCCCATCCAAAGAGACCACCTGTCCTTTTACATCATTAGACACCCTCAAAGCCAAATTGTAATTTTAGAGAGCAACAGCTAATCTACACATATAGATAGAAGAGTTTCATTTCCCAATGCTTTCCTACATTCAAATGGTGCAAATATCTGGACATTCAAATACTTTGTGTTCCATAACCTGGAAGATTCTAGTGAAGGCAAAACTTATTCATCATTGATATACCGCAACTATGTCATGTAATTTATTAGTATATGCAACCCAACACAAAAGGTTTCTCTGCAGACAATAGTCCCAACTTGAGATCTAACATGAACAATGGATAATCAGTCTATTCTGACTTAGAAAGTTTACTGCTGCTTCAAAAGAAAGAATTGGAACACTGCCTTTCTTGTATTTTTTTTTCCAATCTAAAATGATGGGCATCATTATCTTAACTAGTATTAAAATGTGATTGAATGCTGGTTGTTTGTGTATGTATTTTTTAAAAAACAAATCTAGAAAAGTGGGTAACTTTTTGCAAGCAGGGTGAAAATGGGAAGAAAAAGCAACCCTCCCTCTCTCTTTCACACAGACATATACACACACACACACTTCAGTGGAACCATCAGTGACTTTGGAATTGTACCGTCATAGTAGAGATGTGCACTGTCTGGAACGCTGGATACATCACTGGGAGAAATAAGGTGCTTTGTTTTAGACACCCACAAAGGCATCCATACTGTCCCAATGCAGTAAGACATCTTTCCAATTCTCATGTAGAGTCACACAGACACAAAACATTCCAATGAAAACAGAAAAGGACTCCCAATAATCTTAGCTGCGTTGGCATAATCTGGTCCAAGGATACTCTTTATATAAATAACCATTACAGGCACTTTAAAAGTCTTTGGTTGGAATAATCCAACGTCTCATGATAAATCCATAACCAATCAGGACCCATTTCTGGGTTCAGCAGGCAATGATTGCAGACTTGGTCACTTTTGGAGGAAGGAGGCTATGGATCATGCTTCTGAGAAAGCAACCTGGAGTTGTGGGAGAGAGAGAAAAGGAGACCATATGGTCAGATTTCAGCTATCAGTTGTATAAGGTCATAACAAGTCACTGTGTGATCTGAACTGGGAAAACGATGAGGGAGAGATGACATATGGAACGCCTCTTAGATGGACTTTGACATATGGGAGCTGCTATAAAGTTAAGTCAGATCTTGACTTGTCGAACTCCATAACTGTCTCTGTTGTCACCAGACAACACGGTCCCCTTGAATAGATACATCCATATATACATACTCATACACACATTCTGTATACCCCATGACATATCTTATTATATTTGTAGAGTGCCTTGCTGAAAGCTGTGGTTTAATTTTGCATTTAAATATATTCCTTTCAGGCAACCAGAAAATGAAAAGAATTAACTCCACATAACATCCCCAAGTTCCATATTCCCCTGGAAACAAAAGGTGTCAGGGAACAACAGAATAGTGCTTCTTTTTTCATGATGTTTATAATTAGCCTCACCCATCACAGCAGACATTTTACGCGCATAGCTCCCTTTGACAGTCAACATTCCAGAAACGTCCTCTGGAATTGCCTAACAAAGATTCTTCGGATTTTCAGCCATGGGTACTTGGAAATACTAGGTAGGTTTCAAATCCGCAAGATTAATCAATGCGGTTCACAGTATGCTTCTAGGCAAGTCATGTTCTCTTAGCCTGCCTACATTGCAAGGTTGTGATGAAATTAAAACAAGCACACATTTGTAAGTCACCTTGTGTTTTTTGATAGGGAAGAACATAAATGTATGATAGAAGTCAAAGGTATCTAAACAAGCTGAAGTGAATGGCAAGGAACAAAAAAAACCTAAATTGATCTTTAAGCTTCTTTCCAACTCTGATTCTATACAGAATTCTATAATTCTGTATAAAACACAACCAAAATAAAATAGGCAAGGGTCAAGAAATTGAGAAGCCCCAAGTAGTTTCTTGACAGCTATTTTGTCTTCCAAAGTCTTCTGCTGGTCTCCCTATTTTTAAGAGGTTAATCTATTCCAGAATATCGAGAGGGTGGAGGTGCCAGTGCACTTCAGCCAATGCATGAATGCACCATTAGGGCTTAGATGTGTTTATGAATAATTCCCAAAATGACAATAGTTGCTAAGGAAGCAGGGACTCCCTCCCTCAAGTTAGCTCCTCTACAAATAACGTTGGCGCTTACCTTTTCAGGACAGAACTCCGAGCTGCTTTGTCGCAACTTGATTGGTCTGCCTCTGATGACTGCGTAGCAGAACATGGTGATGACCATCACAAAAAGAAAGTAACTGGTGTGCATTAAATGCAGATTAATTAGGGAGCGGTCATCCTGAATGGAGAAAGAGAAAGCATTTCCTAAGGCTGTAGAGAAACTACAGGCAACTGCCTTGGGAAAGTGCAGGGACATTGCTGAGGCAGAACCATTCCAAACAACCCCCTCACCCCACACATACATTATGGCAAGATCTGGACAGTGACACAATGGACAGAGCATGTGCACTTCTATGGAGAACATGTCCAGATCTTGCTCATACAAGCCTAGTCACAGTTCACAGCAAAGTGTAAAAAAAAAATATCACTTACATCTGGAACAATAACCGTCAATTTGGGATTTAATGCATGATAGACTTTGCCAATGGCTCCCTTGTAACACCAGAAAGGGTTGTAGTCTTGGGCATATTTTGTGTTGGAGTCCCTTGCAGTTGTGACGATCTTGTACCAGAAAGTTGCATTAATATATGTTTCCGGAATACAGTGTGGTGGCTGACTGTAGAGCAACACACAATTTTGAGCTGTGTATCCAAGTCTCCACCATCTTTTCCCCCTGGGTCAACCATCCCCTTCCCATTGCTTTCCAGTTTGTAAGTCATGCTGTCCTGAAGTTGGATTACTCCCTCTTTTCCATGTTCCTCCCTCCTCCATTTATCCCACTCCTGCAAAATATACCTATCACTATTTGGGGGAAACGGTGGTGAATAAACAGAGTTCCTATTTGAGACTTCTAGGAACACATAAATTCTTCTTTAAAAATTTAAAACTGGAAAAACTGCCTCTGTGTCTCGTAAAATGGCAAACCTGAAGGCATGAAAAACTGCTGTGAAAAGCTTCCCCGGGAGGAATAAGGATTGGTTAGAGCCTTACACTGTGACTGGGAAAACTGATGCAGCGGCTGTAACTGTCATGCAAGTGGTGAAGACAACTTGGTCACAGCGGCCATGCAGAACGCAGTCATCTGAGTTCCAGGCAGTAGGTAGAGTGAACGTGATGTTGATTTCCTCATGAGCTTCTCTGCCTTTGGGGGTGGAGCGAGGGGAAGAAAGGGAGAAAGTATCTTACGTCAGTAAGACTTTTTTAAAGTACAGGTCGCCCACAACTCATGAGCACAACTGAGCCTAACATTTCTGTTGCTAAGTAAGAGAGTTGTTATGTGAATTTTGCCACAGTTGCTAAGTGAATCACTGCAGTAACATAGCTGTTAAGTGAATCTGGCTTCCCCATTGTCTTTGTTTGTAAGAGGGTCACAAAAGGCAATCACATGACCCCGGACACTGCAACCATCATAAATATGAGTCAGTTGCCGAGAAATCAAATTTTGATCACATGACCATGGTGATACTACGATAGTCATACATGTGCAAAACGATCACAAGTCACTCTTTTCAAGGGCCTCTGTAACTTTGAACGAATTGTTGTAAGTTGAGGACTAACTATATTACATCATTTTAAACCAGGAGAAAATTTGGGCTGTAAACAACTGTCAATAAACTGCTATGAAGTAGTTGATTCAATCCCACCTCAGCAATTATGGAAGCCAGTTATAATGATAAAATGATGGAAGTGGGTGCCTATAGGAAAAAACAAAAAACTGTATGCCAAACTATTCAATAAAAGCTGTTCCTTTTTTATCCTTTTCAGAAAGACGATTTCTAGATAAAGAACATCCATTAAGAAGTGCAGAAATGGATCTCTATTCATTTGCTTTTAGCTATTCCTACTTTTTCCCACAGGGCTTCGGGCCCTTAAGTATAAAATTTGAAATAAATGATACCTGAAAGTCCAATTTGGTGACCAAAAATGGTAGAAGATAAACCTGTGACATTCCGGGAAATGCCACCAAAGGGTCTGAGGGGGTCCAGTGTCAAAGTGATGGCAACGGAAGTATTGACAGGACCAGAATCTTCAAGGGTTTGTGGTGATGGAGTGGAAGGACGAGCTTGGCTGCTGGTCATGGCATTCTCTGGAGTTGTGGTGTCATTTATGAGGTGCTTTAATGTTTCATTCTCCGAAATACAGAAATCCAAATCATTAAATCGCAGAAGGAAAGTGTTCCAGTCCTTAAACATAAAGAGATATATAGCCCTCACATACAGCCCTCACAAAGCCAGCATGTATGTTATATTAACAAACAGCAAAGTTAATTCAAAAGCGCCCAATCTCACCCAATAACAGCAATGATTTAAGAGATACAGCCATGTCAAGATGCTGCACTTCTGGTTAAATGACAGTCATTGGGGCATCTTGAAAGAGATTACAATTTGAAACAACTACCCTTTAATTAGTTATGGGGAAAAGTAATATAGGAAAACGATATGAGGCACAATGCTAAAACCATGAATTAAGATGCTATTAATCTGTGCAACTGAGGTGTACTTCCATTTTTACAATTTTAAATCTGAATTGCTAAACAGTTTAAAATCAATTCAAGAATGGCACCAACAAAACAGATGGCTTTTACTTCTGAGGCAAGACTGACTAGCCTCATTAAAATAATGTGATAACTTAAACATTTTGAGTGTTCCTGTCTCAGTCCGAGGTTGTCCATATTCATCAGACACTCATAATGAGGAGTCCTCCTGATCATATATAAGCCAATCATTTGTCTCTTCATCTCTTGTGTCATCCTGAACTCCCATTAATTAAGCCACATAATTTGTTCCATTCTATCTACACATTCCTTCCTGGAGGATATTCAGATATAAACTTGATTTGTACTTTACCTCTGCCATTTCAGGGGACTTGATCTCTTTGATCTTAAAGAAATAACCCAGAGTCAGAAAGGCGATGGCCATTGCGCTGACACTGATCATAAAAACCACAAGAGGTGGGCGGCTGCTGATGTAAACCCTGAGGTTCTCCAGAGGGTTTATGTTGAACATTATTCTGATCAGGCCCACCTGCAGAACAGCAAGAGCACAAACTGTAAAAAGCATAACAGGAAATAAGGCCTTTGAGATAAGTAAGATGCGAGAGAGAATCTTCTGAAATCTCCATTACTGCAACGTTTGTTTCTGTTATTAAAGGTGAGGAAGGAAATTGCACTCTAGCAATCTGTGCTGAGATTGCTGGCAACTGGAAAAGAGGACGTCTCCTGCCTTGCAAGCTGTTCGGTACAATTGGCAGCAGCGAGGGTGTCAGATGAGTCACAATGGGCACACACTATTTTGTCTGTGTAGCCAGAACGGACTGGATCCTTGCTCCAGTCCAACTGGCTGGGTTCATATTTAGTTAAAAAAATCTTTGGAATCTTTCCAAGGGGAATATTGTGGATACATCCACCCTCTTCCCAGGGCTCTTCTAAGGACATTACAGGCAGCTTGTTAGCTCACACTCAGCCAAGGAAGAAATGCAACTCTACACAAAAGCCTCCTTTATAGTTATGGAAATATGTAGGCTCCTTCCAAAAGTCCAGTCAGGACTCCATCATGCTTCAATCAAGGCAGAAACAAATAGCTGTCACATAAAGCGAACCGAAGCATATGTTTTGCTTTAGATTTAACTCAACTGAGAAATAGGGCATTTATTACTCTTCAGCATTAAAATTCTGCCCTACCCTTCTAGAGCTCAGTACTGGTATTATTTTAATCTGAAAACTAACATCTATCCTGGTTAAAAGATTCTGATAAACTCAATACCTCTCAGACAACAACAAAGTCAAACACAGATCTGAAATTCCATTGCCCGCTTCCAAATCACGCAGCTCCTAGCACTGCCTGTCTTTCCTGAAATATGACTGAAAAAAATGAAAGTTTTGTATTTATTTTCAGAAAGGCACAATATCTGTGCCTGATCCTCTTCCATTTTTGTCTCAGAACTCAGCAAAGCAAGCAAAGGAGCCCAAGTCTTCTTGGGCTTTATTATCAACTTAGCAGTTCATGGTGACTGATGTAAAAAACAGGAGGATTGATGAGAACTCCTGGTCTGGAGAGAAGTTTCATTCACAAGCCAAAGAGATAAAAGTGTATTTAAATGTTTAATATGCTAAGAATAATTTCCATAGCTCTTTTTTTTTTAAATAAAGTTTTATTTGGGTTTTCACACACAAAATACAAGTAAAACATCTTTTTTGAAAATAGCATGGTCCCGGGTTGAACTTCTTTATACAGACACAAAACTCAATTTCATGCTCCTTTTTGTATTCTATTCCATATCTTATACTATTTTACATTTTCTATATAGTTTTTCCCCTCTTTTAATTTTCTCAATTTTATTTTGATTATCTCATCTCAATTCAAATCATTATATTTATACTTTTGTCTGTTCTGTTTCAATTTCATATTATCTTTTCTCATTAAACAAATTTTCTGCTGTAGTTACTAATTGGAGTATGACACCTTTATATCTTTTAAGTACATCCATTCAACTCTTATTTAAACTTCAATATATACCTTAAGTTTATGATCTTCAATATAATACATAATACATAACTTCCAATCGAATTCTGCTTGGCACATTCTTATAATACACACTATATTCTTTTTTTAAAAAAAGAAAGATTGTAAATATATGTAATTATAAACCCTCATTCCATTCCAGTTCAGTTCTATCATTAATAATCATTAAAACCATAACATCTTTAACACTTATTTTCAATTAAATATCATACTTCCTTAAAAACACATATAATCTCCATAATTAATTTTTCCCTTATTTCTCTTCACGTTTTATAAATCATTAAATATACCTTTTGTTACATTTATTTATTGACAAGCATTCCACTGAATTACGATAGCTATTTTATCAGACATTTTAATCATACATTGTTTCATATTTTCTAAAATTATTTCTGCTTCTAATATAACCATACTATCTTATGTACCTTTGCAGAATCCCTTTTTCCATTAAGTTTTCACCCATTATCTCTATATTTTGCTTCTGTCCTTTCCTTTATAACTTCTTTTCCTTTCTTTCTTCCCTCTCATCTTCTCCCTCCCCTTTTTACCCCCTTGTCTCTCTAGTTCTAATTCTCTCTTCTGCATTTCCCTCTTCTGTTGCTTTCTGATTTTATACTTATTTTTCACTCTATTTTTTTTTTGGAGTTGTTTTTCCCAATCTTAAACTTTCCATTCTCTTTCCCCCCTTTCCTTCTTTTTCCCCCATCTAAGATTACTTGTTCATTAAAGATGGCTTCTTCTTTGTCGCAATCTTCTTGTTCTGCAGGCATTTCTTGTTGTTTCTCATAATTCCAAATCTCCATTTCTAAAAACTGAAATACGAAGCCAAAAGAACCTCTCCCTTCTTGTGCACCTTCTTTGTACATTTAAGTTCCATTTTCAGTTCTTCTAAAAGTGGAGCCATTTTAAACAGTTTTAAACAACCACCCGATTGATTTTAGTCATTCAAAACAATAACCAAGAATCCAGAAATCATCAAGTAATCCAAATAGTCCCGAGTTATATCTTCTTATTTCTTTTTCGACTTTCTCCTCCTGGGGTTTTTGTTGTGATATTTCAGTTAGAATGTATCTTTTGGAAGTCTTGTTGAGATTTTGCTGTAAGTTCTTTTTTAATTCCAGGCAGTCTCCTCCCTTCCAGATCCTACCCTTTTATTCTTTTTCTCTCCTTTCCTGTTTTCAAAAGCTTTTAATTATCCAGAAATCTTTATTATCCCTTTGACTTTTTATTTTCACCATTAAATGCCTATTGATGTCAAAGTGGATTTTTTCCCAATTTCTTGCTTAAGTCTCTTAGCTGTCAGTATAGGAAAAGGAGAAAACCAAATCTTTTCCCTTTTCTCTCTCCTTTGCAGCTTAAAAATCTTCTTAGGGAACAATGTTATTGTTTTTTAACAGTTTCAATTCCAGGGTACCTTATTTGTTGCTTTTGCTGTTTGACCCGGTCAACCAAAACTTTCTCTTCTTATCTTCCTCCTGCATATTCTTTTCCGGTCGAGTTCTTCTTTGTGGTGGCCATTTCTGACCACTGCTGCAACCGCCTTCGGGAAAGGGAGTAATGGCCAACTGGGGAGGAGAGATGCGGCTCTCCTCAACCCTGCTGGCAGTCTCCCCCCTCTTCACCACCTCTACAGGGTGGCTTAGCCCCAAAACCAGCTGGCTTGGGGCGCTCCAGCGGCGAGCACGGATCGAAGCCTCGCAGAGACTGTCGCTGAAGAAGCTCAAACCGGAAGTCCCCTAATTTCCATAGCTCTTAAGGTATTTCATGTTTTCTTTTTTCAAAATTCATAATGAAATACTTTTTAAAATCCATGCTTTGTTTTTGCTGTCCGTCTTATAATTTCAGATAACTTCCATTGCAGTGGAGTTATTTGTTGCCAGCATAAATTATTTAAACACTTCAGATAATTTAAGCTTTTGAAATATGATTTAACACATATTCAAAAGAAAGAACAGAAAAAGAAAAAAAAAATACCCAAGACAATTTTTTGCTTTCAGAACAGCAGAGATAAGAGCACCTTGCTCCTCAAACCAGAAAAGTTAAAACACATGACTTCCAAAATGTTATATGTAAGCAATGTACCAAAGAATTCTGGTTTTAGCAGCCTTTTTCCCTCCTAAAATTTCAAAAGGCAACAAAGAAGCCCTAAGGGAGAAGTTGTCATATAACCTGAGGCAATTTCGTGACAGAGCTATCACCTTTGAAGGCTGTCTCGATAGTTATTACATTCCCTTTCATCAGACATCCTCAGAGACTGCAATCCCTGCTGTCCAAAACACCTTAGCAAATTCTGCACTGAACAGGGGGTTGGACTAGATGACCTCTGATATATGCTGCCATTCTAAGACTATTTGAACGACTCGTGGAAGAAATATGGATCAAATGACATGAAGTATAACAAATTTTCTATTTCCATGTTTTTATGGATTTCTTTCTTGAATTTAAAAAATGCATAAACACATTTTTAAAAATAAAAACACTAAAGAAAAGGCTGTAAGAATTATCCTTTAGCAAATTGCACACTGAGGCTAAGTAACTGAATAACAAGCCCAATGTTAATACCAAGGCCTTTCTTTGCATATGCAATTTCCTGTTTTCTTTTTCCACCTTTTCCCTTTCCATTCTCCTACCCATTTGTCCCAAAGGTGCTTTTTTTCAAAAGGCAACTGGACTTTCAGGTTTGTTCGGGTTTTTTTGAAGATGTTTCGCTTCTCACCCAATAAACTTCTTCAGCTCTCCTACCCATTTCAAAACCCAAATCAGCCCTTTCTTGGAAAAACTTATGCACCTTTCCAGATAACAAAGCTACTTGCCTGGGCTAGGTGGAAACTCCTCCCTCAGGGTCTGGAGCTGTCACACCTTGCAGGACACACCTTGTGTTCTCTGGCTGTCACTGTCAATCATTAGCTAAAAGCAAACAGTTCACTGAGACTCTTGCCAAGCCAAAAAGATCTGTTGAAGAGGCTGTCATCTGCCACCTGGAACACATCCTGGGGCTTGCGGTGATGGCCGGGTCTTTTCTTGCCATGTGATTCTTTATTGTATCTTTGGTCTACCTTTCTGAAAAAAAATCCCATCCTCTAGCCTCTGGAATGGCATCCTCCCAGAGACAAATACTGCCCCAACCATTCTTCAAGCATTTCAGGCTCTATTACCAGGCCTGGGGTTAGACTATGTCAGCAGAGGTCCTGTCAACTTTTTAAAAATTTATGTGGTTTTATCCAAGCAGCCATGTTTCTTTAAAATATTTTAAAATTTTGTCAAAGGCCCAGAGTGTTTTTGGAATCACACAGCCTCAAAATTCAATCAATCAATAAGTTCATCACAGCTAAAAGCAAAACAAATCTTCAAATAAAACAGACTAAAACACTGGCAAGATGTTAACAGATGACTTGTGGGGGAAGGGAATTAGAACTCCATTTTAACTGTAGTTCTGAGATCATTAAATAAATCTTTATTGAAAGAAAGGTACTTATGCTTCAGAGAAAGACCATTAAGGAAGT